CTTCAGACTGATGGGCAGGGGGCCTTCATGTGTGGATACTGTTTCCCTACCCCACCCCTGAATAACTCTATGCACTTAGAATTTTAAGCAACACCTTTGGAATAGAAATTCATGCCTGAGCACATGACTGTGCATTAAAACATATGAAGTAGTAGAATCCAAATGCAGCTGCATCATCATCATTAATGCCTAGACCAGTTTCTGTCATCAGATCACTTAGCAATGGCATTTCCTTTAAAAAAATATTTTTATGAAATAGGTGTATGTAAAGCAGCAGCATTATATCTAAGAAGAGATAGCCCCCCCAAAATCAGAAGAGGCATAAAGAACATTAAAAACCAAGTCTCACATAGTACCAAAAGAAAATGAGAATAATAGTCATGCGTAGAACATTAATCAATATCAATAGTTCATTAGTGCAGTGCTTTTGCATATCATAGCAGAAATTCTGATGAGACTTCACATTGCCACCCCAGTCCTTCATATCCTATATTCAATATAAGAGGCTGAGGTTGAAACCATGATTTGCTGCTACCTGCCTAAGCCCATAGAAACATCAGGTTGGTTTGCTTGCTTCCCCTTTTCCTCCTGATATCGAGGAGAAAATCGGAAGCGTTGGCTTTTATTTTTTATTTTATTTTATTTTATATTTTATTTATATACTGCCCTTCTTCATAAGGATCTTGGGGCGGTCCACAAACTGATCACAATCACACATTCAGGCGGTAGGGCTATTTAACTGTGTTGCAGACAGTGCTGGATTTACGTATAAGCTAAACAAGCTATAGCTTAGGGCCCCACTCTCCTGGGGGCCCCCAAATATATACTTCTTCTTAATTGTATTTCACTGTTAATATACTTCTTATTAATTGCATTTCAGTTCAACAATTACTTTGATAAAATACATATTTTGTTATGTGCAAATGGCTTTAGATACCTATTAGGTCCATAAATTACCAACACAAAAACAGTGACAATTTGCTGTTGACAAAGGACAGCTGGACATATAAAGGGCCCCTTCTGGTTGCGGGCACAGGGTCATGTGTGCCAGCCTGCCCTCCTCTTCCCTCAACTACACTGCAGGTAGTGGCAAGCTCTGAAGGGGCTTTGCGAGTGTATTCATGTGAACATGTTTATGAGCCTCCCTGTGATTAGCAGCCCTAGCCACACAGGGTTCCCAATTGCAGGGAAGGGTCATAAGCGTGCCCAAGCAAGTCTTTCAAGATCGTTCAGAACATCCCACTTGACACGGGAAAGTCAAGTATACAGTGGCTGAGGCCAAGATGCCTTGTTCCATTCCTCCAACAGTTACAGATTAATAAAGCCTGAATAGGACTTGTCCTTCTGTAGTTAGACATTCCTAGAGAGTCTTAGACATTACTTTTTTTGAATTAGTGGGACTTTTTAAAAAAATTGAATTGTGATAATATTTCACGTTTAGCTTCCAAAATACACCACTTTTTTATAATGTGATTTTATTAGAGCAAATTTATTTCTGTTTTTTTTTTCATTCGGTTGAAAATGGTGTGTCTACATTATTTGTCTTGCATTTCAAATATTTTTGCCTTTTCCCTCCTAACCAGTTCTTATCAGAATTTAAACAGGTATGAGCTTTTCATCTAATAACTTAAGTCCTTTAAGCTGTGTATTCTTGCAGCTCAGTTCATATACCGCAGTGCAATACAGTTAATGCAGCTTTTAACAGGTAAGAGGGAAACTAAAGCCCTTTTCTGCTTCTGTTCAGGATGCCAAAGAGCTATGACCTCCTCTATAATATATAAGCTTGGAGGGGCTCAAACAGGCTAGTTCATTCTGTGCTCTCCTTCCTATTTCCTGTTTTTATTTTCCAAGAGATGCTCAATGTTATGAGGCTCCTGGAGGGCAGCCTGGGCAGGTTGTCACCTTTTGTTTTGCTTGTTGTTGTCTTTTTAATATTGTGTATGTCTGCATACCTCAGGGTTCAGTTGTGCATGTTGCTATCTCACTCTTGTTTCTCAGTGGGCATGCTTTTGCTCAAATCTGTTGGCACTTAACCACCCGAATTCACTGTTCATGAGATGGATGGATTTGGTAGTTATTTTCAAACGACATAATTTTGAGCAGACGGTTCTGGTTAGCCAATGCTTTCAAAAAGGATGTATTTTTAAAGTTCATCTGGTGCTCCTGAGCAGCTGAACAACAGCACAAATCTTCAATCCCAGAATTGATTTCAGTTTCTCTGAGGGACAAAGTGAACTCCTTTGGGGCTCAGAATCAGACAACATGTTTCTAACACATTCTGCACTGCACATGCAGCGATGAAAATAAGAGATGCTGGTATTCCCTTTCTGCCACTTCCACCCCTAAAGCTTCCCTCAAGGAGTATGTCTCCCCGGTAAGGTTTGAGACTTGACATTTACTTAGCCAGGCAACTTCTTTTGATCAGCCAGCCTCTGGAAATGAATGCGGTGTTCGCCTTTGGGAGTGAGCTTGCTCAGATCCACAGAAGAGAGTGCTGAATTTCTATTAGGAGGATGTAATAAAAATTTACATAGGCAGTTCCTCACGCTGCCGGCAAATATTTGTGTACTAGATTCTCTGCGATCCTCTATTACATTAAGATGATGGGGCTTTGAAATGCTTTTTTAGAAAGGTTCCTTGTTCAAAAACTCCTAAAAATAACAGCAAGGTGATTCCTAGGACAGAGCGCCGTCCAATTTTTCTTGTTTGCTTTAAAAGTTGCTAAATAGTAACTATTTATTACTATTAAATAGTCAGGACATAAGCAACAAAGAAACCATATGGTGCTCCATAGTAGGAATCACCTTGGTGTTTTTAGGGTATTTTGAACGAGGATTCTTTCTAAGAAAGTGTTAAGAGAGAAACTAAACATGATGTAGGACAGAAGTCGCCAACGTGACTGACAACTCTCACCAACCCTGGCCATTAGTAAGGTTGGTTGGGTCTGATGAGAGTTGTAACATATAGCACCTGGAGGTTACCACATCCATGATTTCATCTTCTGACATTTTGTGGTTTACTTAAAAAAAGCTGCAGGAGACAGGGGCTGGGCCCAAGGCATATCATCCCCACAAGCTGTGGTTTGGCCACCTCCATCCAGTATACCTGAAATAGCGTCTCCACCCCCACCGTTCTGCCTGGACACTGAGGTCCCTCTCCAAGGGCCTTCTGGCCGTTCCCTCACTGCGAGAAGCCAAGTTACAGGGAACCAGGCAGAGGGCCTTCTCGGTAGTGGCACCCGCCCTGTGGAACGCCATCCCACCAGATGTAAAAGAGAAAAACAACTACCAGACTTTTAGAAGACATCTGAAGGCAGCCCTGTTTAGGGAAGCTTTTAATGTTTAATAGACTATTGTATTTTAATATTCTGTTGGAAGCCACCCAGAGTGGCTGGGGAAACCCAGCCAGATGGGCGGGGTATAAATAATAAATTATTGTTAATTATTATTATTAAAGGGACAGCTTTAAAGGGAGATTAGAGAGATTCATCCTGGATAAGGTAATCAATGGATACTAGTCATAATGTACCAAAGAGGCAGTATAATAATAATAATAATAATAATAATAATAATAATAATAATAATTTTTTATTTATACCCCGCCCTCCCCAGCCAAGGCCGGGCTCAGAGCGGCTTACAAGCAATAATAAAAACAAGATGAATGATTACAACTTAAAAACAAAAATAAAATACAAGATTAAAATAATGGAACATTAAAATATTAAAATGTAGCCTCATCGCAGGAGGAGAAGGAAAAGAAAAAAGAAAGAGAGGGAGGGAGGGAATCAAATTGGCTCCAAGCCAAAAGCCAGGCGGAACAACTCTGTCTTACAGGCCCTGTGGAAAGAAATCAGATCCTGCAGGGCCCTGGTCTCGTGAGGCAGAGCGTTCCACCAGGCCGGAGCCAGAGTTGAAAAGGCCCTGGCTCTGGTTGAAGCCAATCTAACTTCCTTAGGGCCTGGGACCACTAGGGTGTTGTTATTTATGGACCTTGAGGCTCTCCGTGGGGCATACCAGAAGAGGCGGTCCCGTAGGTACGGGGGTCCTAGGCCGTGAAGGGTTTTAAAGGTCAAAAGCAGCACCTTAAATCTGACCCTGTACTCCACCGGGAGCCAGTGCAGCTTGAAAAGCGCTGGGTGAATATGCTCCCATGGCAGAGACCCCGTGAGGAGCCTCTCTGCAGCATTCTGTACCCGCTGGAGTTTCTGGGACAGCTTCAAGGGCAGCCCCGCGTAGAGCGAATTACAGTAGTCAAGCCTGGAGATGACCGTCGCATGGATCACTGTGGCCAGGTTGGGGCGGGAAAGGTAAGGGACCAACTGCTTGATGCAGCAAAGGTGGAAAAATGTCGCCTTGGCTGTTGCTGTAACTTGCGCCTCCATGGAAAGGGAGGCGTCAAGGATTACACCCAAACTCTTAACGGAAGGCAATGGCACTAATTGGGCCCCCGCAAGAGAAGGGTGTTGGTCCCTCATCCCCATGCCATCCCGACCTAACCATAGGACCTCTGTCTTCGAAGGATTCAGTTTCAATTGGCTCCAACGAAACCATCCAGCCACAGCTTCGAAACATCTGGTCAGTGTGTTCGGGGCCGAGTCGGTGTGGCCATCCATCAGCAGATAGAGCTGAGTGTCATCAGTATATTGGTGACAGCCCAGCCCAAAGCTCAAGATAATCTGGGCAAGGGGGCACATAAAGATGTTAAAAAGCATCGGGGAGAAAATTGCGCCCTGCGCACTCCACACACCAAGGAGTGGTGCGACGACATTTCCCTCCCTAGTGCCATTCAGTATGACTCTGAATTCCAATTGCTGGGGAACAGAAATATGAATGTCTTCCTACAATCTGTTGAGCCACTTGGGGAAAGAATGTTTGACTGCGTGGGCCTTTGACCTGGTCCAAAAGGGTTGTTCAATCTATTTTACCATTCTGTGCCTTTCATGGCTACCTCTAGTGTAGAGGGAATATGCTAAAGGCATGCATGTTAAATATGTTACTTTAGAAAATATTAAAATATTCCATGTATTTCTCAGGCTGCTGGCAACCCACTTAACTGGGATTAAGGCCACTTGAACTCAGTGAGATTTCTTCTTGAGTAGGCATAGCCAAAATTGTGATGTTAACAATTTATTACTAATATTAATAATAATTAATAATGCCACAGCACCATCAGTGTGCCTTGTGTTTTACACTGAGCAGCATAAGCGAAAAGAGACAGCTCCCTGTGCCAAAGAACTTGCCGTCTAAATTTCAGTGGAGACAATAAAAGAAATGGGAGGCAAAGAGAGAGCAGGCTGGATATAGTTTCACGTGTTTAGGTTCATTTTTGTACTTGGGTAGGTGCTTTCATCTACCAATTGCTCCTTTCTTTCACAGCATGTAGTTATGATCCGCACAGATGTGGCAATCATATTAAATATGTTCAATTTTGACAACATTTCTTTGAAGAATTAATTTAAGGCTGGTCCCCTTGTTATATCCATCTTTGTTCTGAATTTTTTGCATGGATAAGCTACTTTGAGTGGAAAACTAATATGCCCAAAATGCAGGGAAGTGAAGAGGTTAAAGATGGAGAATGAGAAGGAAATGAAATAAGCCCAATTCTCCTTCATTTTTTTTTCTTCCTTTCATGAAAGGCTTGTTAAGCTTCATTACTCATAAAATATTCAGCACATTGTTTGAAGGATAAAACAACATGCATGTCTCTACTCCCAGCCTTTCGGGAAGAGAAATTCCTCCCGGATATGATTTATATTCATGGCGTAAGCTTTGGTATGGTTGGTGAGTCAGTGAAAATAAAGATGAAGGAAGAAGGGGCTTGAAGAAAGATGTTCCATGTTGTAGTTCACAGCTTTCATCGTAAGATCTGATTCCTTTCTGTACCTTGCTAACAAGATTCTCTGGTGAGAGGAATGCTAATCTCCATAGATTGTTCACCCCGTGGGAAGAAAAACCCTATAAGGTGTTTTAAAGGGCTTGTGAGATGCAGCTTCTGTCAGTGTTTCTTATATAAAGGAAGGCAAGAGGGTCCTTAAGACAATCTTACATATTGTGAGGAGGAAAAGCTAGCATGGTGGTACTGAGGAGAATTATTGCCCCTTTGTTGTAATGTAAACTACTGAACAAATACAGCATATGTAAATAGTTACATAACTATTATTCAGCAGCAAAGCCGAGCGATGAAACGTAATATTCTGTGCAGTCATTGATCCAACATGGCCGACAACCTTAGCAGCTATCCACAGCTTGGTTGCCCTTTTGCAACAGATCAAGCTATTACAGTGGTTCCTCAGGTTACAGACTCTGCTAACCCAGAAATAGTGCTTCAGGTTAAGTACTTTGCTTCAGGATGAGAACAGAAATCATGCTCTGGCAGCGTGGCAGCAGCAGGAGGCCCCATTAGCTAAAGTGGTGCTTCAGGTAAAGTACAGTTTTAGGTTAAGTATGGACCTCTGGAATGAATTAAGTACTTAACCTGAGGTACCACTGTACTGTTTTGATATTTTCTCAATTAATTTTGTCACTGTCTCCCCCCCCCCTTACTGGAAGAAGAAAAGGGGACAGGAAAGGACAGCTGCCACTAACCAAATAACTTACCCTCCAACATTTCTCCACTGAAAATAGGGACGTCCTAAGGAAAAGCGTGACATTCCAGGATCAATTCAGAAACTGGGATGGCTTCTGTAAATTGGGGACTGTTCCTGGAAAATAGGGACACTTGGAGGATCTGCAATAATTGTTTTGTCCAAACAATCTCAAAGTACTGGAACAGCATATTATGTTGGAAATGGCCCTGAGTGATCAGAGGCCACTAACTAGAACCTTCCTTAAAGGAGAGTTATCTAAAGCAGTACTGTATCTCCACATATTAACATGATATGTATAAATAATTGTAATGAAATCCATAATAGTCTTTAATCCTGCCTTTACTGTTTAGGTAGCTTTAACAGTAGAGCAACCTGTTATATATATACCTTGTGGCAATGTGATGGAAATATCTAGGTTCTCAGACGGAGAGACACTGATCATCTTAATCACATGACAAGTTTATTCCTCTGTACTGGTGGTTACTAGGAATGTGAACTGCTTTAAGTGTCAACTCTTTAGGTTCTGCTTTACAAAGGTTATTTTTTTCCCTTTTGCAAATTTTGTGGTTCCCCCCAGGCTGCTGATATCTCCTTCTTTTTTGTCGGTGACGCCATGTTGGCTACATAAACAATGTAAAGGTAATGATGTTAAACATTTGACCAGTAGTATGGTACAAGTTTTTTAAAACAGAAGAATCTCATGGTGATATTAAGATTGACCATTTCCATTTGTTGACCTCATAATGACTGTGCACCGGTGACAAGACTTTTGAGAAACTTATCTTCTAAGCCAAAATAAAGTTGCTTATCTTCTACCTTTGGAGGCCAGATTTGCTAAGCTTTTTCTCTGTAAGTTAAAAGATAGAGGCGATAGTACAGAGACATACCTTCCCATGGGATTTTGAAGTATGTCTGAAAGCTATCAATTGCGGCAAAATATAAGATACCCTTCTCTTTTCATTGTCAATATCCGTGACATTTCCTTTGCCTGATGTGGAATAAACACACATCACTCCATTCTTTCATCCTGACTGGCTTTGGCTGCATTTATCAAACAAGACAGAAGTGGAATATAGATGCATGCGAAGAAAAGATGGGTCAAATCCTGTTCATTAAACCAAAAGTCACCAAGTTGTAAGAGTACAGTAACATTTGTCTTGGGCAGCACTTAGCCTCTTGGTAGTTCATCTGTGAAGTTTCAACAAATAACTCATTAGAATTATATAGGGGAGCATATTTCACTTAGTTTAGCCAGTCTAGTCTATTTCAATTCCAGAGAAAATGTCACTTGGAGCTTCTGTTTATTCGCATTGGTGCCTATGCAGGTTCCAAACATTTACCTGCAAATGCCCCATAAAAGTCATCTTTTCCCAACGAGTGACCTTAGAATCAGCTGACATTTCCAAAAGTGAGCCTCATAGAATATAATCAGGCTAGGAGGGAGTAAGAATGGGGACAAAACTAGAATGAGTTGGGTGTCTCTGTCACTCTCTGTAGCAACCTGCTGTTCTCCTGGCCTTCTGCCCTACCAGTCTCAACAGGCACCAGCCAATATTTGGGTTCTTATATTACCACTGTGGCCTAGTGGCCGCAGGGCACCATTGTAACAAAAAGGGAAAGACCAGTAACAGCTTACATGGTGGTTTTACCGATAACATTTGGCACCTGCTATAGCCATTCTAAATGGTCATAAAAAGAAGGGCAGACTATAATTCTTGTTAAATAAAGGCACTCATTATTTCTGTTTGAAGCTCGGTAAAAACATTCCACTGCCCCCTCTTTTTAATGCAGAATAAAAAAACTAATTTTGCGTTAAAGATCAGGGAAGAACTTGTCTTTCTTTTTTTTACTTACGAGTGGAAGAATTATGCTCCTCTCTACCTTAATGGGAACAGTAAGTAAAAATAATTATCCATGCATGCTTGCCATCTCATTAAATATTTGATGTAAAAATCCCTCCAATAAAAACTCTAAAATGGATATATATTTTTCTCCCACTGTTGAGCTTCAGATGGTTTATTATTTCCATTAGGCTTTGGGAATTTGATTGTTTAATCAAGCGCCTTTACTCTTGTGTATCTCTTTAGATTCCATTAATGTAGTGATACTTCTCACTCAGTTTGTACCACTTGTTGCTTTAAGTGTTGATTATTACACTTACCCCCTCTGTTTTCTTGCCTTCCGGTCTTGTTTTGCGTTCTTCTTTCAGCAGTTTGTAGGTGGCAAGCACTATCTGATAAGCTACTTTCATAAAACACGCACACGGGGGAAACATGACTGCAAATAAAATGGCAGCCTTGGCCGTCTTGCACCCAAACTTCACTCCTGCTGTTAAGTTGTGGGTGAACATACCAGATGACACAGCGATTCTTCAAACAGCTCTTGTTTATTCCGAGGCCAGAACAGAACTGAACTGAAGAGCTCAGTCAGCCTGCTTATATAGAGCTCCAGTACGTTACTGTAGCAACTTTCTAAAACTATCCAATCACTGAATGTCACTTTCGATCCTTCATTTGCATAACTATCTACAGTATCCCCCTGCTGGCCCAGGGTGAGAACTTCAGTACATAACACCTGCGGTCTGGAAGCTCCCCTGAGCACGGTTCCACTCAGGGGGATGCTCAACACGGGTATATGTGGAGGAGGAGGCTGTTTCTGATTCAACCTTCTCCCTGAAGCCTCTTTTACCTTCCAGAAGTTCCTTCCTATTTTTCAAGATTAGGAGACCCTTTGGAAATGGCACTTAGCACTGTAGCAGGGGTGGGATTTAACAGTAGGACTTGGCTTCTGAGTAGACATGTATGGTATTGCACTGCAAATCTCCTTGGAACATCCTGATGACTCAGACATTAAATTGAATATTTTAAGTCCATCTGAGGTTTTAATTATATCTCCCCTGTTAATAAGAGGTGGAATGGAAGACCTAAATATTATAGGCCTTAGGCCTTCATTAGCTCTTGGTTTAGTATTTTCTTTGAATCTGCTTATATTTCCAACTCGCTAATTTGGGGCCTTGATTTCTATTATTTGTAGCTACATCAGTAACTATTTGAAACAACGGTTTTCCACTATATGGGGGGAATGCTGCTAAAAATCAAGTAATAATACTGCCTCAACATAAATGCTGGTGGTGCCTACTTTTTCTTCCAAGAAAATTAGCAATAGAAATACCTTTTGTTGCTGTAACAAATTGAATATCATTCATTCTCTGCCACCCACTCATCACCTTATTTTAAATTACTGAGAGATGGAAATTATATTATGATTTGCCATGCTTTCTGGCCTAGATCCACAGCTAGTGAATCATTCTTCATTTAGCAAATACTGCTATTGCCTCTTTCATAGGATGGATTTAGCTGTACTTTTCACATAGAACTGCAGGGCGCATATGCTCAGCAAGCAGCAGGTCCCATTTTCAATTTTTAGCATCTCCAGGTAGGCCTGGAAAAGACTCTTGGTCTGAAACACCTGGAAAGCTGCAACCAATCAGTGTAGATGTCATGGACTGGTTGGATGCAAAATATCCAACTGGGGAACCACCAAAGGAAGAAGGCTCAGAGCCTGAGAAGTGGTGGTTGGCAGAGAGAGGAGACTGGGAAGAGGATGTGTCAGAAGTTGAAGAGCTAGGAGAGTCTGTGGCAGAGAGAAGTCTAGAATCAGAGGCAGAAGCTGAAGCAGGTGAATGGGAAGAGGCCAAGAGGAATAGATGAGTCAGACTGGTGAAGAATCACTGGTGTCTCCCCCTCCTTCAGTCAAGACTAACTAGAATTGAAAAACATGTCAATAGCCCAAACAGAAAAGTTATACTTCCCATTAACAACTTCCTGAACCTCTTCTATCATTGTGTTACATGCAACAACTTTACTCCAGAATTCTAAATTCATATATGCATAACTTGCCCTTTGTTCTAGGGTTTTTCATTTTCTCTGTTTCATTATTTTTTGCAATTTGAGATTGTGGGCAGTATAGCACAGTGGCCCTCAGGCCCTAGCCACCTTTAGTCTGGGTTCAGACATAAGGGGAAGCCACTGTTTGAGTTATTTGTGTGAAACCCAGGCTTCTATGTTCCTCTCTTCCCTTCTTTCATGCACCAGAAGAAAAGTTCAGAGGTTTCTGCTTTTCATTTTGGACTTGCAACAGTTCCCCGTGATGTTCAGACTCTGAGAATTGCAGTCCAACAACTTCTGGAGGGCCACAGGTTCCTGAGCCCTGGTTGAAGCGAACCGGTATTCTGAGCACACACAACCTGGAGAAACTGCGGTTAGTTTAAAAGTGAAGTGGAAACAATCATCTTGTGGGTTGTGAAAACAAGGGGAGGAGGTGGAGGGGGTGGTGAGCCCAGGGCTCACTGTGGTTTAACTAATAGGAAACTAATAGTTGCCTGACACGAACAAAAATAAAAGAAAAAGTCCCTGTAGCATGTTTTGATTGGGAATCAGTAAAAATATTCTCATGTCACAAAGTAACAGAGAGACTGAACATGGGAGTTATTTTTCTTTTCCTCCTCAGTCACTTAGTTAACCATGCTCTTGATTTTTTCAATGCAGATCAATAAGATGTTTGCTTGAACCCTGCTGCTATGTTTTACTTGTAAACATACAGGGTTTGTGTTTTGTTTTTGAATGGCAAGACTGTGGGATATTTCCCTGCTCATACAGATCCCTTTAGCTTGACAAAAAAAGAGCCTGATTGGAGAAACAGTGTGTTATCGACAAAGAGAAGCTGGGAAAGTGATTTGTGAAAGTGTGTGAGCAGAACACAGAAATCTCCTGTCATTTCTGATTATATAAAACGCATGTGTTCTGAGAGTGGGCTGTTAATCTACAAATCATTCTTTCTCTGGAACAGTAGAAGAGGAGTCATATGCAAGCCAGGAGTATTTTACCAGTTACAGATTTTTTTAGACAGGAGATCAATAAGAGTGAGTAGCTTGAAAATAACAATAAACACCTGCCTCTGCGGAGAGGTTGAGACTTTGTCTTCTTGCTGAGGGATGTGGTGTCTGTTTCAGCTTGTTGCAAAGGTCAGTAGACAAATGTAAAAAAGAGTGACTTAAAAAAAAAAAAGAATCTACACCACCTTGCCACAGTAGTTTTCTTATATATTTGTAGTTCAGTGACACAATCTCATGGTTCCCAAAATGTCAAGTGGCCCTCCCTAAGGAGATATGAGCGACAATCTCTAGAACTCCTGAATAGCTCAGTCTACATGTGCATAGTACATGCAACTAGAGCACAGTTTGCATTCTTCTGCACAGATGATGATGGTGATGATGATTGCAGCACTAAAAGGACTGTCTCTTTCGCTAACTCAGAAACTGAAGTCCTTAGTATCTGAGGAAGAGGGCAGATCAGCCTCCTCAGGCTATGGAGAAGTTGGGTAGGCTCACTCCTGAGCACTTAATCCAAAGTGGTTCCTAGGGCAGAATATTTTAAGGAAATTACCTGAGGAACTTCCCCAATGTGCCTCCTCCTCAGGGTCCTCCACCCTAGCTCTGGAGTGTGGGGAATTTTGACACCTACTAGATTCCAGAACCTCTAGGGTTTCTTCAAACCAATGTGTCCCATTCTGTTTCTGTTGTGTGATCTGCCTTTCACCCAGGCTTACCACAGGATAAGTGGCATCTGTAAAGGTTGCTTGGGTTTGTAACTCACCACCCATATTCATGTTGCTTCAATTAGAGATGAGAGAGTTTTGAAATGTTCCTTTGCAATGGAATATATCACATTAACACATGAACCAACCCCCTTGGTGTCTTGGTGTTGACCCAAATTACTGTACACAAGATACTCTGATAGTCAAAATAATCCCTTTGGTTCCAGGAGATTCAAGTAATTCTTTCCCGGTGAATTTTCTCATTGCTCATGCTAATCCGTTATGGGAAGAACAAGTTTCATATTGCAGAACAAGGTCTAATAGAGGCATATGTTAAAGGGCATTTCAGTAGGGATCTAGACGGTTAAGTGCTGATCCCGGCAACACATTTCCCTACATGCATTTTGAAAACATATCTGGGGGAAATTTCTCAGCACACACTTTGTTGTGTAATGTTGAAATTGATAAATCGAAGCACAATGCACCTAAGCTGAGTACAATGTCCTAAGAGCTTCACTGAGTCTCTTTGTCTTATAATAGGAACAAGCTAGATCTCATGCAGCAGATCTGTAATCGAATCTCCCAATTTTTATTTGCTTAAAAGAATTTAACTGGGACCTCAATTTGGATTGGAAGAAAGCTGCTGGGTGAGAGCAGATTAAGCCTTCCTCCGTGTCATTTTCCAGAATTAAATCAGCCTTACCTTTTTCCTAAAGCTACTATTAGCCATATGCAAGAGGCAAAAGGTAGCTGCACATTATGCTTGTCCCTTTCGCCTCATTGCCAATAGCAAATGAGGAGGTGTGTGACTGACATTGCAAAAGGTTTTTCACACACACATCCATATAATGCAATGGCTTTGATCCCCTCTCCTCCCATGGCTACCTTTAAGCAATCATGGTTTTCCCACATCACATTTATTACACACACACACACACACACTTTTGGGGGGCTGTCACTAGGGGCTAACCTATGCATGTTCCCAGAACATATTGCTTGTGTTCTTAAAGCTTTTCTCATAGAAGCAAACAAGCATCAAAATGTTAAGTAGGCTGGGATCCTTCTCTACATTGTGAAGGAGTAGGATTCATCCTACTAGAAAGGCCAGGCCTCTGTGTTCCAGAAGCAAAGCATGGTTTCACAGGCTCACTTAAAATTCCGTGAGCTGTGCTGTAGGTAAGATGGTGGAGAATATTCACTGATGTACATGTCCACAGTGACCATGTAGTGCAATCACTCTTGGAAGGTTGTTTGTTTGTTTATTTGTTTGTTTGTTTGTTTGTTTGTTTTTGCAATGGCATGGAGTCAGGCAGCCAAAACTGTGATTCATGCAGACATGCACACCATGGTGTGCTGTTGAGCAGCATGCATGGGGGTCAAATGTGCTGAATTTGATATGAATGGCTGCTAGGTGGTTGAATGAAGTAGGACAGTGTGGTTGAAGTGTTGATTAAATTATAAATGGCTAGAATCCTGTTTTAGATGTCTTTTGTAATGGGCTATATTTTTAAGTACTGTAGCATATATTGGATTTGTACTGGAGACTGCATGGATGATACTCTTAGTTTATGTTTTACTGGTCTTTTGAGTGGTGGTTTCCCACTATTGTGACTGACGACGGCCTTTGGCTAAGCAATAATGATTTGTATTTGGGTGCTAAATGCCTGCGTAAAACTGCCCAAGGGTTGCATCTAATTGTCATCTCCCGATATTGCCGGTTTCATGACTGAATTTAATTAGATATGAGAGGAGAGATTGATGGATAAAAGGGGAACAGGGTTTCTGTTTTGTGTAAACCATCTGAGAGGAATTCATCTGTTTGATTATGAAACTAGTGGTGGCCCCAACCATTACTAGCTTGTATTAGTCATTTGTAGCCTAACAAAATGATTTGAAAAGCTTCCCTGCTTGGTGACCTGGAATTCATCCTTACCACCAGCAAGCAGGCAAGCAGCTATTTACAAGCCTGTGCTGAACTAGCACATATGTTGACTCAAGACAGTCCTTCCATATGAATTGCAGAGTACTGAATACTTGGGCATGGTTTGGCTAATCATTCCAGGCTTCATGAATCCTGGTTTATGAAGCTAAATATGAGTATCAAGGCCTAACGCTCCTCTTTCATCCCTTCTATGAGTGCATGATCCTGGTTTATTTACCTTGTTTGTCAGCTGACATTAATCCAGAGTTCTCCTGTTCAGTTAGAATGCAGAACTTAGCATACAGATCTTTGTACTGAAGCTGGCATGCAGTCATGAACCACAGTTTATGAAGTCAAACCAGGCCTCTATTTCAGCATCTTTTCTCTGCTCCCGATCTTGTATCGGGCAATGGGGCATGTTTGTGGCTCAGGAAGGGAAATACGCCAATCAGCTTGGTGACACACACCCCCAGACACTTTTGAGTGTGATGGGGGGCTCCTTAAGCCTGCACCTTCAGAATTTAGGGCAGGAGCAGAATATGGAGTATATTTGGGATCAGTCTGACTGATCTACTCAGAATTTTAGGGCCAAGGGGAGGTGATACAGAAAGGCCTTTACACTCACCTTTAGGGTGGGGTTGGTACAATGCCTCCCCTTATCCTGGCAGGGGCTGGTTGCCCTACAGCTGCAGGTGCTTGCTGAAAATTGGTATGTAGCTCCCACACCGATCGCTTTCTCACTGCAGGCTATGCTATGTTTATTTTAATGAAGTGGTCCATAGTTCAACCAATCTACCGTGTCAGAGAGTTTTCATTTCAACCCTCGGCCACAGTGTCTGACATCTATAAAGCTTGCTGTCTGGAATCATCTTTCCACACAAGATCACTTGTCTTCTCTAGTAGCTAATTCTGTCCCCTGGAACACTGTGTTTCGGAGGCTAGTCTATGGTCACCCAGCTGAAGCAAGCACAAAACTCTCCCGCCTCCACCGCTCACACACACACATTAAAGTGGCAACATGACTTTAAGTTTCAAAATCTCTTTATCTCAGCTTTGCAGTTCCAGTAGGTGATATGAGCATTTAATGCCTCAGGTTGCCTGCCGAGTCGAAGAGCAGCAGAGAATGGCCTTGGTGCATAAGCAGCCCAGGAGGCACAATTACTTTCCAAAATAGGGAGTTAAGAAGAAATGAGAGTGAGATGGGCCTTCTCCTCAGATGTTGGCATCCTAAGGATTTTATCTCCCTGTCCGTCATTGAAGTCTGTACCTTGTTGAGTTTAATACATTTGCTGTGGTATTTCAACCAGTCAAGCATGCTGGCCTTTCTTCTTGTTGTCTGTGTGGCATTAAATGCTGATTCATAGTTTACAATAATCTCATATCTTCCAACATTTCTCCAATGAAAATAGGAATGTCAGTTGCCATTTTTCTAGAAAAATAGGAGCTGGAACACACCTCCCTTGTTCTCTTAGAATGGCAGTGGTGCCCACCTGAGAGGTGCCAGCTGAAAAAAAAAGCTCTGGGTATATCCTATTCCATACCCTCCAACATTTCTCCAATGAAAACAGGGACTATTTAAAGAAAAGCAGAACATCCCGGGATCAAATCAGAAACTGGGATGGCTTCTGTAAATCCGGGACTGTCCCTGGAATAATAGGGAAACTTGAAGGGTATGTAATTTCCTTTTCACTTATGTCTGATGATGAGCAGTTCATGTGTGGACATGTTAAATGTCAGATGTAGGTTGCAGGATGGTAGATCTACAAGGCATGTTCAGGTATTCACCTGAACATGTACACACTGAAACTGCATATGGGGGGTGGGCATTTAAGTTAGCCTCTAGCACTTAATCCCTGGCCATCTCCATGTTGGGTGAGGAAGGTCTGCAGAAAGTTTATATATTATGGTGTGGAAGATTGTTAAGTAAAACCTGGAAGGACACAATTTGCTCACTTGAGTAAGAGAAGGAGCAAGTTATTTTTGCCATTTATTTTTTTTCATTCATAAAAACTACCTAACTCTGTAATTACCCTTGCATGTGCTGCATTGTCCATTGGCCAGTAGTCAGTTGTGGGAGGAAATCATTCTGGGTTGTTGTTTTCCATTTCCTTGATGGACAGTATCTGTTTGGCCATTTGTGAAATTTTGAATGCTTTCAGCAAATATTCCATCACTGTAGGTAGGGCAGAAATAATTTGACTTGTCTTCCTTTTGCTCACATCAAAAGAAGCATAATAGACCAAACCACCATGCAACTTCCATTGACTAAAAATATGAAATTGGAGGTCTTTAGATACTTTCCAGTGAAGTCTTGGAATTCAAAATGCCTTGCTATTGTTCATATCTTTACGTCTTCTTACAAACTCAGAGGGCTATGGAATTCATATTTTTCTTAAGAATACAACCAATCCAAACTACAATCCAAAATTCTGACAGTTTTACCATTATTTTAAAATAATTGCAGTTTTAGTTCAATTGTGGGGATCAAATCCCTTTTAGTCTTAAATTGTCTATATAATAAGCTAGACATGCAGCCATAACACAGTGTTGGTTTCACTATTAGATTTCTTCCAGCCTGGTAAAAATCAGTCTGCCACCACTTCAATGCACGGTGAAATGTAATCGGCATTAATGTGAAAATACCATTTTAGTGGGTCTTTTTATTTCCTCTGGATTGCAAAGAATATTTAGTAGGGATCTTCAGTGCAAACCCCTTTGAAATGAGCTTTGAGGATAGTTTCTTGGATAAAACATGTCATTACAGAGAAGGTGCAGATAACCTTGATCTTCCAGGTGTTACTTCAGCAACATAGCTCTCATTATCCTTGGACATTGGGCCATGCTGCCTGGGGCTGCTTTAGAGGAAATGAACAGATTTTTAAGGCTGCATGTATGCTGCACATTGGAATCTGTATTAAAATTCAATTTAATTGTCATGGTTTTCCCAAGGAACATTGGGGAATGTGGTTTTGTGAGGATGCCAAAAGGAGCATATGAAGCTACTGTACCCTGTCAGGACATGAGTCTACCTATGTTCCATTCCAGTACTGTCTACTCTGATAAGGCAAATCTAAAGAAATGTAGTATAAACACTGACAACTGGGAAACACTGGCCTGCAAGCATTCCAATTGGAGAACAGCCTTTACCAAAGGTGTCATGGGCTTTGAAGACACTCAAACTCAGAATGAAAGGGAGACCCGAGCTAAGAGGAAGGCATGTTTGACAAACCCTCACCATGATCAACTCCCACCCAGAAACCTATGTCCCCACTGTGGAAGGACGTGTGGATCCAGAATTGGCCTCCACAGTCACTTACGGACTCACTGTTAAAACTGTGTTTATGGAAGACAATCTTACTCGGCTACGAGTGATCGCCAAAGTGTTATGCCCTCTCCTCAAAATTAACACAAGAAGAGCTTGTTGGATCCCATCTAGTCTAGTTGAGAATCTTGCAGTACAGCAACCTGTTCTTGCAGTAGCCAGTGAGATGCTTCTGGGATGGCTGCAAGCATCACCTGAGTGCAACATCAGTCTCCCCCATCCATGATTCCCAACAACAGCTATAAAGAGGCAAGGCTGGTATCCACTGATACCTTTATCCTCTCAATTATGGATCCTTATGCCCTTCACGGGGACGCGGGTGGCGCTGTGGTCTAAACCACAGAGCCTAGGGCTTGCTGATCAGAAGGTCGGCAGTTCGAATCCCCGTGAAGGGGTGAGCTCCCGTTGCTTGGTCCCTGCTCCTGCCCATCTAGCAGTTCAAAAGCACATCAAAGTGCAAGTAGATAAATAGGCACCGCTCCGGCGGGAAGGTAAACAACGTTTCTGTGTGCTGCTCTGGTTTGCCAGAAGCGACTTAGTCATGCTGGCCACATGACCCGGAAGCTGTCTGCGGACAAACTCCAGCTCCCTCGGCCAGTAAAACAAGATGAGTACCGAAACCCCAGAGTCGTCTGCAACTGGACTTAACGGTCAAGGGTCCCTTTCCCTTTATGCCCTTCACAGCACTACATCTTCACATCAAAATGTCTCATTTTGTGTACGATTTTGCCTAATATACCTATATACATATTTTGTTCCTTGAGATGGGCTCCCTCCCAGTGCTTAGTGTTAAGACCAAGCTCTGGTTTTAGAAATTCTGAAGAGTGTCTTGGACTTGGAATACTATTTTTGTAAAATTTATTTTTATTAAAGATTTTCTTGGTTTACAAAAGTACACGTGCCTTGTCTCTTTTTTTCCAGGTTGTACAGTCTTTCTTTTAATTGCAGAACTGTTTGCTATTTTTCACCCACTTCTGGGGAAAGTAGCATTTTCTCCTAGGTGAACGATTTCTACCCCTCTCCTTGCCACACACAAAATCTTCCTGAACCCCAGCAAGCTAGCGATGAAGCATAACTCCTGCTGCGGTTGATAGCAGAAGAAACTAATCAATAGCAGGGAAGATGAACTGGATGTATTTGACACTCAGTAGAAATCCTATTCTGAATACGCAGCAGAGATCAGCAAAACTGAATGCACTTCTATTCACCTGTTCCTATTAAATGAGAAATGTTATTTGGTGGAAAGGATATTTGTGTTGCCGTTGTTGTTTTTTTACCTGGAATGATGCCTGCTGGAAATGGAAACTCTGGCAATTGTTGTTGTTTTTTTAATTGGTTTGCATTTGTTTGAATGCCAACAGGGGTTATCCTGAAAACTGGCCTCTTTGCTCATTATGGCATTTAATTGAATACTGGAGAAATATTAAGTGCTTTACAGAGGTTCAACATTGGGCCATTGAGATCTCAGCACCTGCAAAATTCTGCTATCTCAAAGCTTAATTTGGTGCATTGCTCATATAGACTGCAAATAGCCCAGCGCTTTGTGGGAGCCCCAATGTGAACATAATAGTCTCATGCCAGACAGGCTTCCTCCATTCATTTAAGTGTATGGAAAAGTCCAGCATGAGCAATAGATCTGCATCCTGGAATACTGAAGTGAATAAGGCAGCCGTGGCTCACACAGAGCATTAAAGCACACATAAACTCCAGGCGGGAGCAAGAAAAACACCTGGTTTTTTTTTTAAAAAAACTGTGGGACAGAATTGGATGAAATTTCCAGGCAAGGTTGGCTCCTGCCAAATTGCAGAAGTGCTTTCCCCACAAGGGTAGTATGTACACTTAAGGGTGGATAAAAAGGGAACCGTTCGATCTCCCTTACAGTTTTGTGGGCAATTGGTTTGGAAATTGAAGACTCAAGTGAAATTTCCCTGGGCCAGAAACCTGCTGAATTGCACATCAATGGCCCCAATGGGAGTTGTGCTGGGCACCATTTAAACTGATTGAGAGTGGACTGAAAAGGAATGTACTTTTCAGGTAAAACTATTCCCCCTGGTTACAAGCTTTACCTAGCAGTCACAGTGGAACTCTCCCTCCACCTTCTCACCCTGCTGTTTGCTTACCCTAACACTCATCACTCCATATGGTAAGCTTGGAAGTGCTTAGTTTTGTTTTTAGCAGTTGCCTGTTTCCAGCATCTTGTTTGTTTTTAACATCAGGATTGCTGAGGCACCATGAAACACTGACAGGGTCCCTCCTGTGATTGTCACCTCATGCTGATCCCTCGTTGCCTAAGAGCAGTAGGCTTGTAATCTGGGGGACCGGGTTCGCGTCTCCGCTCCTCCACATGCAGCTGCTGGGTGACCTTGGGCCAGTCACACTTCTCTGAAGTCTCTCAGCCCCACTCACCTCACAGAGTGTTTGTTGTGGGGGAGGAAGGGAAAGGAGAATGTTAGCTGCTTTGAGCCTCCTTTGGGTAGTGATAAAGCGGGATATCAAATCCAAACTCCTCCTCTCCTTCTTCTGACAAGCCCAAGAACCCTCCAGGGTGCTCCATTTCAGCTTGAAATTTCCCCGTATGTGATGCATACCCATAGTTATTTGCCTGGAGGAAACTTAACCTCAGCCTCAAAGAGGCTTTAAGTATTAGACACACCCCATTCACATGGACTCCAAACAGCATATGGCTGGTTGTATATTGGCTGGGTCCATATGCAGACTTGTTTTGATAGCAGGTGTAGCTTGCCACAAAAGTGCTATGCTCATAGCAGGGGAGGAAATCTACTCTCTAGCAAGGGCCCCATTACAGTGGTATCTCGGTTTAAGAACAGTCCTGTTTAAGAACAATTTGGTTTACAAACTCCTCAAAACCAGAAACCGTGCCCTGGTGTGAGAACCTTACCTCGGTCTAAGAATGGAATCCAAAGGGTGGAAGGGCACTGGCGGCAGGAAGCCTCATTAAGGAAAGCGTGCCTCAGTTTAAGAATGGTTTTGGTTTAAGAACGGACTTCCGGAACGGATTAAGTTCGTAAACCGAGGTACCACTGTACCCCCAAGGGTCAGTGGTGATGGGTGCATTTCTCTTTCCCCACCCATGGATCCATCTATGGGTCCATTGAGTTGCGTATGGAAAGGCAGAGATCCACATGAAAAAGAAACACAACATTTCATCCCTCTCCCATATCATTGTGCTTGGAGTGCCCTAGGAAAAGGATTCACTCTGGTTAAAAGACAGACCTGTCCATCAAAATGAAAGATACCTCCACTCCCAATCAACCTCTCACCAGTCAGCTTGGTTTCCATTCAGTGGGGAAACAGTTGTATGTGGTGTGAAAGCTAAGGGAGTCTCTGATCCAACTCAAGATATTTTGTTTTGTTGTAGTAGTTGTTGCTGCTGTTGTTGTTTCTTATAATGAGGTGATTACAGTAAACCTGTTCAATTAATTCTTTAAAAAAAACCAAAAAACATGTCCTCCACCTAGGGTTGCCATATGTCCAGATTTTCCTGGACGTTGCTGGGATTTCAAAGGTGAAGTTGATGTCTGGGGGGAAATTTCACAAAGGCGGAGCTTCGTCCTGGATCAATTGAAAAATCACGTTCTTTTGGAGTTATTATTTTTTTTTTAAAAAAAAAAAGCTCAACAATGGTTTTTACTTTTTGAAATATGGCAACCCTACCTCCACCAAATGGGCTTCCAAAGAATTAGAAATGGGCCTCATTTTGCTATCATGCCTACATCTTCCTCCCGCCCTTGATTATACAGGTTTCTCCACACAATTATTAGGAGTGGCATTTATTATTAGAAATCCAGTTTCAGCTGTGCTGTTTACTCTGGCATGCTGCTGCATGTCTCTAAGGGCTCTGTTATTTGTTCTGATAAGCTGTTGCTCTTTTGACAGAGGCTTCTAATGTCACTTCCCACTCAGAGTAATGTCTGCGCTCCTCACGCATGAACTGCACCATTAAATTTATCTCCAGGAAAAGCAATAGGAGTGCAATTTCGTGGAGGCAATTTTTGCTCTGAATATTAAAGCTTTGGCTTATCTATCATAGCCAAAGTCTGCTTTCTGGTCTTTGATCCTTCAATATTTGTTTTAAAGAACTGGACAAAACAATATAGGGTCATCAATGGCTTGCTGGTGGTTGTGACACATTGAATTTCCAGAGCACATTAAAGGAAGTGCACAGAGAATTTTATGTTGTAATCGTTACAACAACCCTGAAGAGTAGACCAGTGGGTGGGGACTGGGGAAAGATGATGGAAAGGGAAGGGGGTGGTTACCTAAGGACTCTTATTTGGGTTCATTGAGGAAGTCACATAGAGGAGCGAGAAAGGTTGTTTTCTGCTGCTCCAGAGAAGCGGACACGGAGCAATGGATCCAAACTACAAGAAAGAAGATTCCACCTAAACATTAGGAAGAACTTCCTGACAGTAAGAGCTGTTCGACAGTGGAATTTGCTGCCAAGGAGTGTGGTGGAGTCTCCTTCTTTGGAGGTCTTTAAGCAGAGGCTTGACAACCATATGTCAGGAGTGCTCTGGTGGTGTTTCCTGCTTGGCAGGGGGTTGGACTCGATGGCCCTTGTGGTCTCTTCCAACTCTATGATTCTATGATTCTATGATTCTAAGTAACATTTGAACTAAGAACTGGCTGATTCACAATTCAACCCCTTAAAGTGCTACATTACATCCTTTCCAGTTGTTCCTATTTGCCAGAGACCTTTTTCATTTTCTGTTCTTTGTCCTTAGTAAACCCCTGTCCCTTTCCCACTCCCCTCTTGGGAAGATTCTTGGGAATTTTCCACTACCCCATAACCACCTATCCAATTTGTAAATGTTTCTAAATGTGATTTTAGTGCAGTTATTCTGCAGTAAGCACAACCTGATTTTAAGCATTAAAAGGAGTACAGTTGCTAGTACTCCTTGCTTCAGAAGCTACCCAGCACAGGACAGGACAGACTCCCGCAGAAAAAAAGGTGGTGTGGCTGGTTGTACATATTTTTTTGCAAACAATTTTCCCCAAACAATGCATTTTTAAATGCTATTTTCTTGAATATGTGCATTTTTATGAACACTTTGTGTGCATTATTATATATACATGACTTATTGGGGACACTGCTTTGCAAAATTTGGGGAACTGCACGTTTTGAAGGATGGCTGTATGTGAGGTCTTACATTGTTTCAGAAATTGTGTATTAGGTAGCTTTGCCTTTAATTGCAAACTGACTTGAATTTCTCCTCCATCCCTAACCCATAGCAGACTCTGTGACCTCCATAGACATATTTGGTGACCCCTCTATTCAGAAAATGACAGCCCTGTAACTCAACACAATGAGCAACACAGCACAACCCTTTTTTCAGCTTCCAAATCCTTAGTGCATACCCATTTACATTTTCAGCAGGGAAACTGGGGTGTCGAGGAGAGATGCAAACTGCTGTTTCACCCTCATGGAAGCAATGGCCCTGTTGGTCTCATTAAAAAATGAATATGCTGCCGTGTAATTCTCTGCTTTGGTTCACATGAACACTTTCGGTGCTTTGTTTAAAAATGAATGTTAAACAAGATAGACTCTCCACTGAGTCTGTGGAAGAAATCAATTCTCCCTGCTTAACTAACATCAAAGCAAGAATTGATTTTACTGATTTCTCCCTTGAGCACCACTCTGTCCTCTTAATTGTACATGCAAGAACTCTTCTGAAGTCGCAGGAAGTCCCATTTTATTTCCGCCAAGAATTCTTTCTCCACCCACCAGATCTCTGCTGAAGACCGTGTTTATATTAAGAGTGGTGGGCAAGTGCCAGCTGCATGGAACATAAACAGAACTACAGGCCAATTTAACTAGGCATGTCCTATGGGAAAAGGAAAAAAATTGCAACCCCATTATGATATGGGCTAGGCACACAACTGTGATCTTCCCCCTTTGTGGGGCTGGGAGTGGAATGTGATAGGACCCTAGTAAACATGCCTACATGCCATCTGCATTACATAATGCACTGTAGGAGCAGTGGGGGCAAGTCAATGTATGAATTGGGCGGGGTGGATAAAGATAGAGGTCACCTTTATGATATGCAAAAATGCTCACTGCCCCTCTTTCTAATTTTAGCCAAATAGTAGCACCATATACTCTTGGCCCAGAGAACCATCGTAAAAGGTAAAAGGAGGCATTTAAAAGGTAAAGGGACCCCTGACCATTAGGTCCAGTCGGGGATGACTCTGGGGTTGTGGCGCTCATCTCGCTTTATTGGCCGAGGGAGCCGGTGTATAGCTTCTGGGTCATGTGGCCAGCATGACTAAGCCACTTCTGACGAACCCAAGCAGTGCACAGAAATGCCATTTACCTTCCCGCCGGAGTGGTACCTATTTATCTACTTGCACTTTGACATCCTTTCGAACTGCTAGGTTGGCAGGAGCAGGGACCGAGCAACGGGAGCTCACCCCATTGCGCGGATTCGAACCGCCGACCTTCTGATCGGCAAGCCCTAGGCTCTGTGGCTTAACCCACACGCCACCCCATTTACATTTGTTGTTGTTTAGTCGTTTAGCCGTGTCTGACTCTTCGTGACCCCATGGACCAGAGCACGCCAGGCACTTCTGTCCTCTACTGCCTCCCGCAGTTTGGTCAAACTCATGCTGGTAGCTTCGAGAACACCATTCAACCATCTTGTCCTCTGTCATCCCCTTCTCCTTGTGCCCTCCATCTTTCCCAACATCAGGGTCTTTTCCAGGGAGTCTTCTCTTCTCATGAGGTGGCCAAAGTATTGGAGCCTCAGCTTCACGATCTGTCCTTCCATTTCCATTTACAATCCCATAATTCATAGATGAACCAATTAGCTCCAAAAGGTATTTATCTGACACTTTTGACAACTAATAAAATTAGATAAGTGCCCAGAGCAATCACAACTTACAAGACTTATACCCTGGTCATGAGAAAGGTTAAAAGGATAACATCTGAAATGAGAAGCATGCTTTCTGCATGAACTCTTCCCTGCATAATCTAAGGCATCTTCGGGCAGCTACTTGCAGGGGCAGAGGAAGGGGGTGCGGTAGGGGTGGTCCGCCCCAGGTGTCACCACTGAGGGAGGTGACAAAATGCCAGGCAGCACTCACCGCAGGGCCTGCAGCATGCCTGAGCCACACATCTCCCCTGGGAGTGATGCGGTGGCTTGGGCTCCCATAGGCTCCTCGCTTCCCCCAAATTGTCCACCCGCCGCCTCCCCCCTCAGCTGTAGGGTGGCTGAGTGGGAGGAGGCAGGCAGACTCCTCAGAGGCCCCGCGGAGCATCCTGCCCCGGCTCGCCCTGTGCGCAGGGCATGCACGCCGCCCCAGGCACCCGATCGGCTTGCTCCGCCGCTCGCTACTTGACCACAGAAATGTGAAGTTCATAGTTGGGAGCAGGAGTGTGCAGGCAAACCCCACTTCCCATGTCCCCAGTGCATGTCAGCTCTCCTCACTTAGTCCCCAGCCTTCCTATGTTGAGCAGGGAAGAACTTTTACTCATGCTCGCTCGAAGCAAGCCTTATGAAGAATGGTTGAGGGAGCTGGGTATGTTTAGGCTGGAAAACAGAAAACAGAGAAGTGTTGTGATAGCCACCTTCAAATATCTGAAGGGCTGTCACATGGAAGATGGAGTTAGTTTCTTTTCTGATGCTGCAGAAGGTAAGACCTTAACCAACAGATTCAAATTAACAGGAAAGGAGATTCCAGCTAAACATTATGATGGTAAGAGCTGTTCGACAGTGGAACAAATTTCTTCAGGAAGTAGTGGACTCTCCTTCATTGAAGGTTTTTAAATAGAAGTTGAATGGCCACCTGTCAGGGATTCTTTAGCTGTATTAGCTGTTGAGCTAGATGACCCATAGATTCCTTTCTAGTTCAATTATTCTATGAATGAAAACAGAACCCTCTATATAGTTTGGGACCCTGAAACAGCAGGGACCCAATATCATGGAGATTTCTACTCATGTTCAAGTGAAAAACAAAACAAAACCTTCATACATTTCCCACTCAACACAGGAAGTTATGAGGGACTGAGTGGGCAGGGCTGATGAATATAAAAATATTGAGGCGGGGGCTACAATTGCAATTACCCAGATAAAGACATTAATTTGGGCATTGTCTATGCACTGCTTTGCAGTTGCTCCTGGCACACCCCACAAACATTACAGAGGAACAGTGCAAGGATATCTGGCTATTTGCTCACATCATCATAGAATAGCCTTTTTTTTCAGATATCCTGCCTTACTTTTATCACTGTCTATGAGTTAAAATGTTGTGTGTTCAGGCAAAAGAACACAAAACTTCAGGAGCACACTGGGATATGGACCTAATACAGTTGTTCTCCCTCACTGCACAAGGAATCTAGAATGCTTGAAAAGGGGCAGATATCCCTGTATCCAGTGTAAACTGGATGTTTTTGCAGACACCACCCCTCCCCACTGCATTGCGTTCAC